AGAAGGTTGTTCCAAATTTTGAGTCCTTTGATTTTCGTGGAGTGATTACTCAGGTTGAGTCGTACCTACGTGTGCAATATTAAAGAGATATTTATTACTCCTGTAACGTCTGTGTGATCTGAAGAGAATAAAAGGGCACAATACTGTGACTGGAACAATACATAAATAACCCTCACATAGGAAAATGAAACTTATAACGACATTTCGGTCCGACTTAGACCAATCTCCAGGACTGTTTAGGCTCCGGGTTAATATTTGTATTGATGGATTTTTTTTTTTATCTCGAGTTGCTTTACTTGGTTGTCGAGGCTGCCTTAGTTAATCTGTCACTAGTCTAAATCATGTTCAGCATGATGCATGCGTCTCTGTGTTACTAGATGTAAAAAACAAGAATTAATTTCTGATTTAATAAATATATATTATACGATTTATGTTTGCAAGAGATGCTATGCATTTTACGAGCCTTTAGTTTATTGTATGTCATGTATAGTAATACTGAAATTTAGATCAATGGTTACATATGTATTTGACCAACATTTTCAGTAACCTTCAGAAATGTTTTAGGAAAGTACTTTACTAAATCTTCTAACAAATTGATTGCAAAAATTATAGTAGTAGTTGTAAGTAGTTAAAAAATTATTCTAAGGTTGCCCGAAATGCTCTGCATAACCAGGAGCTTGCTATAACCAGGAGCTTGCTATAACCAGGAGCTTGCTATAACCAGGAGCTTGCTATAACCAGGAGCTTGCTATAACCAGGAGCTTGCTATAACCAGGAGCTTGCTATAACCAGGAGCTTGCTATAACCAGGAGCTTGCTATAACCAGGAGCTTGCTATAACCGGGAGCTTGCTATAACCAGGAGCTTGCTATAACCAGGAGCTTGCTATAACCAGGAGCTTGCTATAACGTATGTCAGTAACGTCAACGTTTTTTGATTTTTGAAACATGTGTAAACTACACTTACTAGAAATAGACTTTACCATTTATTAAGACAACAGCTATACAAGATTGTACTGCGTCTCTCCTTAGGGTTATCTCTGAGGCTGTGTCGCGGGGCCAAAGATCCCGTAACCAGTGACAGAGGCAAAGAAATAACATACAATATTGTCTGTAGCATTCCTCGTATACCAGATGATTTACCTGATCTGTAAAGTGTGAGGACTCTTGCTGCTTTCTTCTTTACTAGCAAAAACACTTCCAAACCATTATGAAAATTTACTGTCAATTGGGGGTGAAAAAAAATAATTTGGTGAAGCAATGTCACCTTGATGGTTTTATAATGCACCTCATACACATGCTCGAGACATGGGTGCATAATGTGTCCAGGAGCTGGGCCCCATTCCAGGAATGTATTTATTAGTAGAATTATACACACTTAACAGTGCGGCTACAATGATCTATATGACATTTTACAGAGTTAGGGTAAGAGTCAAGAGACTCGATGAAAATAAATCAGTTGGAAGATATAATTTTAGTCGATGATGGGTAACTAACCCTCTGGGTATATAATCCAAACAAAATAATCTTTCTTTCGTCTTCTTCTTCCTGTGGTAAAAAGAGACAAAAAATGCAGCAAATGCAACACATTCGTCTCACAATGAGTGTCCGTGGCTTAGTTCCTGGCCTGGGTACAACACTCCACATGTTTACTTATGCTTGCTATCCTTCTTCACCTGTTCATAAGTAGATGCCTGGGTACTCGTCTATATGTACTCACCTATATGTGGTTGCAGGGGCCGATTCACAGCTCCTGGCCCCACTTCTTCGCTGGTCGCAATTAGGTCCACTATCTTCAGGCTCCAAGGGCTTTATCCTGCCTATACTTAAAGCTATGTATGGATTCTGCCTCTCCTATTTCAGTCTCCATATTGTTCCACTTCCTGACAAATCTACCTGGAGAGGGTTTCGGGGGTCAAGGCCCCCGCGGCTCGGTCTGAGACCAGGCCTCATGGTGGATCAGGGTCTGATCAACCAGGCTGTTACTGCTGGCCGCACTCAAGCTGAGGTACGAACCACAGCCCGGTTGGTCAGGTACTGACTTTAGGTGCCTGTCCAGTGCCTTCTTAAAGACAGCCAGGGGTCTATTGGTAATCTCCCTTATGTATACTGGGAGGCAGTTGAACAGTCTTAGGCCCCGGATACTTATTGTACTCACTGTACTCGTGGCGCACCTGCTTTTCGTCGGGGGAATGTTGCATCTCCTGCCGAGTGTTTTGCTTTCATAGGGAGTGATTTTCGTGTGTAGGTTTGGTACCAGTCCCTCCAGGACCTTCCAAGTGTATATTATCATGTATCTCTCTCGCCTGCGTTCCAGTCTAAGGCTGATGAAATACTTCCTAACATTCCTATGACTCACTAAATTTTCAGCTTCTTCCAGCTGTCCTCTTGTTCCTGTATCCCATCTCTGAAACATTCTGGCCCTGATTATCTTGTCAATTCATCTCAGTATTTTATACTTCGTTATTATGGTGTCCCTATTCCTCCTCTCCTCCAGTGTCATCAGGTTGAGTTCCCTTAACCTCTCCTCATAGGACATGCCCCTTAGCTCCAGGACTGGTTTTGTTGTAAACGTTTGCACCCTATAATTTCTTGACGTGCTTGACCAGGTGTGGGTTCCATACTGATGCTACATACTCAATACAGGCCTGATGTACATGGTGCACAGTGTCGTGAATGATTCCTTAGATGCTGAAATGCTATTATTAGGTTTGCTCAACGCCCATGTGTTGTAGCAGTTATATGGCTAATGTGCACCTCAGGGGGTGTGTTCGGTATGATACCCAAGATCATTTTCCTTGAGTGAGGTTTGTAGCCTTTGACCCTCGAGTCTGTGCTCCGTCTATGTCCTTTGTCCTTCCCCAAGCTTCATGACTTTGCACTTGGTGGGGTTAAACTCCAGGAACCATTTGTCGGACTAGGCTTGTAGCCTGTCCAGATCCCTTTGTAGTCTTTCCTGAACCTCCTCCGCTTGTATTCTCCTCATTAGTTTCACATCGTCTGGGAACAGGAACACCTCTGACTCTATCCCTTCTCTCATGTCGTTCACATTTACAAGAAACAGCACCGGCCCTAGGACTGACCCTTGTGGAATCCCATTCGACACATGCACCCACATCGACTTCTCGTCTCGTACCGTCACTTGTTTTCTTCCTGTCAGGCATTCCCTAATCCATTGCATTGCTATTCCTGTTATTCCTGCCTGCTCCTCTAGCTTTTGTACCTTGTGCGACAGTGTCAAAAGCCTTCTTACAGTCCATCACAGGGTTTTCCATCCCTGGAGTCGTGCTGGTTGTTCTGTATGAGCCCATTTCTCTCATGACTCATGGAGAGATGTTATCTGGGTCCAGCGCCTTCGAGGTATCTAGTTCACATAGTAATTTCTTCACCTACTTGGTTGTGTGTAGTATGTCCAACACTTATGGTGTACTTACTGCCTCGGTTTGCTGGAAGCCTTTCTGTCTCCTTTGATAATACCTCCCTGAATCACATCTGAGGTCTTTACTTACTTGCTGATCATTCCTTGTGAGCTTTCCTCCTGCCTTCCTCAGCCTGATTACCTGGTTCTTAATTGGTGTTTTCCTCCTGATGTGGCTGTCTAATTATTTCGGGTAAGATTTTAATTTCGATGCTATGTCATTCTCGTACCACTGCTAGGCCTCCCTCCTTATCAATGCTCATTAGGCTTTGGCCTCTCTGCACCTCTGGATAAGCCATGGGCTCGCTCTGGTCTTCCCATTGTTTCTATTGCCCCTTTGTACGAACTTCTCATCTGGGTGGCCTGGCTAGCATAGCTCTCGCTTCACATGCGGAGGGCCCGGGTTCGATTCCCGTCGAGGTGGAAACATTTCGACGTGTTTCCTTACACCTGTTGTCCTGTTCACCTAGCAGCAAATAGGTGGTGGTGGTGGAGGAGGTGGGGGTGGAGGTGGTGGTGGTGGAGGTGGAGGTGGAAGTGGTGGTGGTGGTGGTGGTGGTGGAGGTGGTGGTGGTTGTGGTGGAGGTGGTGGTAGTGGTGGAGGTGGTTCTGGTGGTGGAAGTGGTGGTGGTGGAGGTGGAGGTGGTTGTGGTGGTGGAGGTGGTGGTGGTTGTGGTGGTGGAGATGGAGGTGGTGGTGGTGGTGGTGGAGATGGAGGTGGAGGTGGTGATGGTGGTGGAGGTGGTGGTGGGGGGTGGTGGGTGGAGGTGGTGGTGGAGGTGGTGGTGGAGGTGGTGGTGGGGTCGTGGTGGAGGTGGTGGAGGTGGTGGTGGTGGTGGTGGAGGTGGTGTGGTGGTGGTGGAGGTGGTGGTGGAGGTAGTGGAGGTGGTGGTGGTGGAGGTGGTGGAGGTGGTGTGGTGGTGGAGGTGGAGGTGGTGGAGGTGGTGGTGGTGGTGGAGGAGGTGGTGGTGGAGGTAGTGGAGGTAGTGGCGGTGGTGGTGGTGGAGAGTAGTGGAGGTACTGGTGGTGAGGTGGTGGTGGTGGAGGTGGTGGAGGTGGTGGTTGTGGTGGAGGTGTGGTGGTGGAGGTAGAGGTTGTGGTGGTGGAGGTGGTGGTTGGTGGAGGGTGGTGGTGGTGGAGGTGGTGGTGGCGGAGGTGGTGGAGGTAGAGGTGGTGGTGGGGGAGGTGGAGGTGTGGAGGTGGAGGTGGTGGAGGTGGTGGTGGTGGTGGAGCAGAGGTGGTGGAGGTGGTGGTGGTGGAGTGGTGGTGGTGGTGGTGTGGTGGAGGTGGTGGAGGTAGAGGTGGTGGTGGAGGTGGGTGTGGTGGTGGTGGTGGTGGTAGGTGGTGAAGGTGGTGGTGGTTGGGGTGGTGGTGGTGGTGGTGAGTGGTGGTGGAGGTGGTGGTGGTGGTGGTGGATTGGTGGAGGTGGTGGTGGTGGTGGTGGTGGTGGTGGTGGTGGTGTGGTGAGTGGTGAGTTAGAGGTGGTGGTGGTGAGGTGGTGGAGGTGGTGGAGGTGGTGGTGGAGGTGGTGGAGGTGGTGGTGGTGGTGGTGGAGGTGGTGGTGGTGTAACTGTAGCAGACGACACCTGGGCGACCATGCAGCAGTGGTGTACTCAGCAGTGTTCACCAGGTTGTTGTGTGGGGCGCTCCTTCTCGCTCCCTTATCATGTGTCTATTGCAACTCCTTATTTGGCTAGTTCTTGTATCGCTATCATCTTGTACAGGTCAGTAGCTATCCTAGGAATGATGAACTAGTGATCATCGCCAGAACTATATACACCCTCAACATTGTTGTTATAGTGGATTTCACCATTCTGGTGTTGGCGGCCGTCACGTACACCTCACTAACATATTAAGAAATGTAACCTTCAAATTATTCACGTTTATGACCACATTTCATACGCAAAGGAAAATTATAATAGTACGAAAAACGTCGTCTGATTTATACAATTGAAAAAGAACGTTTACTTAGGAATATGTATTACGGTATTATGAAATCACCGGCTTAGAAGAAAGTTCATAGAAAATATTTGTTAAAACTGATTTTGTTATCACCTTATGTTCTTTTGATATATATGTGTAAGATGCAACGAAGTGTTTGTTAGATCAAATGATAAGAGCTTAGCGCTTCTTTTTGATAATAATAATAATAATAATAATAATATAAGTTACTCGTGAAACTTTTGCAGTCTGAAGACATCTTGGTCAACAACAAACTTGTATACTTAATTCGCAAACGGGTGAACATCATGAAGAGAACCCTTGCTACAGCTGGATACCCAGCCGACAGGGATCTCCGATCACTAGCAGCCAACAATACCCAGAACTCACCATACCGCCCCGACAGGATCACCATCAATCCTTGGAAGAATGGCAAGCTCTTAGCATGGGATTATACCTGTGTCCACACTGGCTGAAATCACCCTC